TATAATAATGTAGATTTATTAGAAAAGCAAACAAATGCAGAACAGATGGGGCTTGCTGGACAAGACCTTCCTTCCTCTTAAAGTTATAAGCCCAGACGGGAGATATCACCTTCAAGCAGTCTCCTCACCTATGAATTGCTGATGATGTTGACTCTGAGCAGCAACGGATTGCTCCGGCGTAGTGTGCGGGTTACTATTGGACCCGCTCTCTGCCATGCCATCCATCTTCTGTGCTGGTCTATACCTAAATTTAGAGCGTGGCTTGGGATTTACACAGGCATGAGCAAACACATAGACGTTATTTGCAGCACGGCCATGCAGACTTTTGCGTTCGTCATATAATACAAGAGGTTACATTCAAGGTCAGCATTTTGAGGGCTGAGCATTCAAGTCATCTACTCAAGTGGAGGGGGAAAATGAGAACCTCCTTTTGAAAAGCACTCCTCAAGACAGAATTAAAGGGGTTAAGAAGTTTGCCCAAGGTGACGCCAAAAAAAAAAAGAAAATGAGAAGCAGAGCTGGAGTGGGTGCCAGAGTGCAGACTCTCAGTCTCGGGAGCTGACTTTTGCATTTACTTTCTGTTTGGGAGCTGAAGAAATAAATTCTTCTGCTCCTTCTTCACTCCAGCAAGAACGAGAAGTGTCCGTGCTTCCAGGAGACAGTTCCAAATTCCTTTGCACATTGTGTTTTATATTAAAAATTACTCAGACACAAGACTAACCACAGCACTATTTAACTTGCACTGTTGCACCAAAAAAAAAACCAAACCCAAACAAAACCCAAAACCCACCCAAGCACAACACAAGCCCCCAGGTCCTTTACACCGATTTGGCTGATTTGACAAATAACTCCATAGCCAAGGTCCTGAGCCAGCTTGGTCAGCGGGAGGCAGTGGAAAGCGGCACATGCAGTGGCATTCTCTGTAGCAGCGGGCTGAATCAAGCCACTGGCAAACAGAATAGGCAGGTAAATGCCGTTTCACAGCCTCATAGAACGGTTTGGGTTGGAAGGGACCTCTAAAGGTCATCTTGTCCAACCCCCCTGCAATGAGCAGGGACATCTGCCACCACAGCAGGTTGCTCAGAGCCCTGTCCAACCTGACCTGGAATGTTTCCAGGGATGGGGCATCTATCAGAAGTGGTTTTGGACCCTTCCACTACTCCGAGTGGCCAGTGACTTGCAGCCCCCTCTTCCACAGCTCAGTTCTGGCACCTCAGCAACTCTTGGATTTGAACTGTCCCCACACGCTCCCTTTGCTCCCAAGCGAAGCCAAGTCCCAAGATGGGCTCTGCCGTGTTCTTTGGGAAAGGACCCTTCTGGGGCACCGTTAGAGAGCTCCAAGACGCTGGGAGCACCTACCTTTGCTTCTGGTGGATGGGCTGCTGCCTCATTGCCATGTACTGGGTGTCCTCCTGCAAACGGTTCAGTGGAGACTCTGGTTTTAGACGGATCCCGTAATAATGATATTTGGAGTTTCCCCTGGAAGTATCAGCGTTGAAATTGCTCAGTGTAAACTAGTCAATGGAAGAGGCATTGTAGCCCTGCAACTTACTCTTAGGCTTGTTTTGACAATACACCCTACTTCTTACAGAACACGTCAGTTTGCTGCCAAGCGCTATTTGAATGGCTGAACTAATGAACTAATGAATGCCATCATCCCCTACAAAATTTAAAACCACATGTCGCAAAGTTCAGTGACACCCACATTTAAAACACAGCAAGGTTTGTTCCAAGTAACCCATGGTAACTGGAGACGAGGAGACAAGTGTTACAATACAAAGTGTTATTCAACAGAATGACAGAAAGACCTCAGGAGACACTTTGCTATTTGATTAGGGTTTAAGGATTTGGTTTTGCCATAAAAATAAACTTCCATCTTTATCTAGACTTGGATAAAATAAGCCTGACTGAACAGTCAACTACGATAAGAAAAATGCCTTTCTGTTGCCAGCAACAGCAACAGGCTTTGATGTGGCTTTCTTCTTGGAGTTGCTAATTTTTGTAGTTTTTGTAAAAAATGAAAGCTTTTTGCAAGCAAAACAGGCTGCAATTCTTTTTCCTTTGCTGGTCAGTAAAGCTGCTGTGATGCTCCTTAGGCGAATGTCTTTCCATCACTTTAGACAGATGTGTCAAAGTTTTTCCACCAAATTGGAATTTTTCAATCCCCAAGCGTCTGCTTTTGGGAGCGAGAAGGACAATTATGCAGCCATGGATACATGACGACAGTATGTCCAACTTGGCTTTAGCCAATTTGTCGCTAACAACGGTTGAGCTGAGTCCTCAGTGGGAGAGGAGACCGAGCCAGGGGAGCAGCAGCAGGGTCTCCAGAGCCCTCTTATCAGGGATGCTTCAAATTCATTTGCTGCATCACTACGACAGGGTCTGGAGGCACATCAAATCCAATGATGCTTCCCATCGGAAAATTACATAGAGAAATTTAAGACAGGGGTATTTGTCAAAGAATTGACCCTTTCTTCCTTGTTGGGGGAATTTTCTCTTTTCAAGGGGACAGTTGAATCGTTCAGTCTTTGTCACTGCACCAAAGGGATTTACACACACTGAGCGCTCAGGTATGAAGTACACTTCGGCCATGCCTTAAGTGATTTTAAGTGCCTGGAAATTAAATAACAGCTACATTCATAATCTAAATGAATGAATAAGAAAATAATGGTGGACAGCTATTTCCATATTTATTGAGGTTTATTGTAACCTTCCCAGCCTGCACATTTGCAATTTTAAGTGGGTTTCTTCTTGTTTGTTTTTTCTTTAATCCTTGATAGGATTAAAAAACTCTCTCTCCTCTAAAGCAATTGTTTCAGAGCTCTTGCACTTGAACCAATGTATAGAAATCCAAACTCTCCCCTGCTCTTCCTACAACTGTTGCCTCCACATTCCAGCTGTGGAATGCCCAGAACACATCTGGTTTTGTTCTCATTTTGAATGAGAAAATATCTAAGCTTGAATTTTATTATAAAATCTTACACAATCAGAGCAATCACTGTTTCTCTAGTGTATTAGCTACTTTTTTAAAATTAGAACCTGGGATAAAATGCAAACTCAGCTGTGCAAGCTGTGCGGATACTTTGGATGCTCCCTTGAAGGACACATGTGTAATTAGAGCAAGTATACTTTCCTATGTTACGCTTTTGTTGTAACATCATATGGATCTTTGATGTTTTAAAAGAAAAAATTTGTCACAAGATTCAGCCTGCCACTTTGGGAATTTAAGAAATAACCCATTTACATCTGGACAGCTTGTCTGCATCAAAGATGCAGGCACAGGTTCTGTTCTCATCTGTGATGGAGGAACTTTATTGGACCCAAAGGGAGAAACTGTTTCACTGCATCAGAATTTTGGGCTCTGCAGCTGACAGCAGCAACTGTGAAGATGAGTTACTTCATCTTTTTGAGACAGTAATGGAATGAGAAGAAGCCTAGGTTCAAATAACATATTCTTAGACTCCTTAGGAAATGGACTTAGACCAAATTCCACTGTGTGGCTGGACAAGGCACTGTCACCAGAGACCTGGAGTGTGTCTGAAATTAACTGTATTGTCAAGCCTCCCACACCGCTGATTCATGGTGAGAAAGCAGCTTTGCCTCACAACACACCGAAATTACTTTTGTGTCTCAGAATAGCAATTTTTTTTCCCCCACAAGATCATGGTTGGTTGTTTCTGTAGATCTCAGAAGAAAGACCTGTCCCTGCTAAATGATGCTTGGTAGGTTCTCAGTATGTGTGAGAGAAGCTGTAGGAGCTTTTTTTATCTTTTAAATGTAGATTCATACCAACCTGGTTCCCAGGCGGCGAGTCCTCAGCCCCATGAACACCGACCGGATCAGTTTTCCAAAGGAAGCGGCGTTCACTGGATCCAGTTTGTGCTCCTGGCAGTGCCGCAGGTAATGGTTGTAGAGAGAGCTCCTGGGAAGGCTAACGCCTTCCGCCGTCTCGTAGTTGTCCAACAACCACTGGAGCTTTATGTATGGAAAACATAAATAGATAAAGAACACATGAAAGTCTAAAGAGGGCTGGAACGGGCTGCGTAAAACCACGTCAATGCTTCAATGTCAGGAGAGCCCATCTGACATTAAGAGTTCAAGAGAACTTAATGCTGGGAAGTTAATTTATCTAAGTTAATTTATATAACTTATGCTGGTTGCATTTTTATAAAAGTAAAAGGACCGCCAGCCCAAAGCCAACAGCCCAACAAAAATGCCGTCAGATTTTGCAAGAGCATTAAAACGTTATCTGCCTGCCATCTCAGTGTCCATCTCGGATTCGGATTCATTCCTGCAGAGCCAAAATAAAGCTGTAAGCATGTTTTCCAAGAATAAAGATGTTAGGATACTGCCTAAGAGGAATAAATTTTAGAGGAACCAAATATGCTGCAAAGTCTTTATTAATTTGAAGAGTGGCATGTCTGCAACTGTTCACTTAACAATAAAATTAATGGTTACCAAAGCAACCTTAAAAATCTGAGGGGTTCCATCTATTTTTCAAAATTTACTGTCTGAACTTCTTCTGACATTTCTGTTGATTAAAGTTTGCAATTAGATATAAATCATTTATACCCAGCCAGTCTGAAAGGGCAGGCCCGGCACACAATGTCAGCACAGGAATTAAAATGCAAAAAGACAAAAACCCCAATCTCCTTTAATTGGTTAAATGACTTCAGCATCAATAAAATAAGTGTTATATTAAGTGCCGTTTTGAAGGAACTAGATGTACAAATTGACTAAAATCAATAGGGTTGGTAAGAGCCCTTTCTTTGTCGTTAAGGACATTTGGGATTAACATTTCCAAGACTTCCCTCTGCATCCAGACCTCCATCCCTGCATGCACAGGAGGCACGGCTCCACCAGAAGCAGCTGCATTTGCACCACATCAGTGGCAAAACAGACTCAGGTTATGGATGCCAAAATCTTAGCCACATCACCTCCTTACAACAACCAACCACATATTGTAATTAAGCACATACTGTAATCAAGCACAGTCTTAGTCTAGAAATCAGCGGGATTTAACCATGCACATGGATGGACAAGTTGGCCTCCCCACTCGTACTCCACTATCTGGCTCTTTTCTACCATTTTCTCTTAGTGAAACTTTGCGGTCCCAATTCACCACTATACTCGAGTTTTATATCAATAACTCCGAAAATACAACCTGAAATGTGCAATGACATCTCTGACACCTCACTCCATTGAGCTAGTTTCGGTTTATGTATTTCATATCCAACTTTGCTCTCACACAAAGGCTTTTCAGCACCTACGAATGTATGTTCTGTGATTATCATTCACGTATCCAAATTTAAACTTCTGCTACATAAAATGAGCTGAATCCAAAGCTGTACAGTTAAAACTATCTCATTCGTTAGTTGGGTTTGATCCAAAGCAACCACGAGTTCCAATGACTGGATCTGTCAGTTTTGGTGGCCTTTGGAGCAGAGCAGGGGCTGCCAATGCTGCAAGAAGAAAAACCTCTTGGCCATTTTCCCCTCTGTCCTGCTTTTGACAGAGCTGCTTGCCACCTTCCCACTTTCTTCCAGTTACGCAGCACCTAAGACACTCTTTGACGTGTTCTTCCACAGACAAAGATCTTTCTGACCTCCAAACCCTACAGTCCCAAGAGGTGGTGGCTGCTAACGATCCACGGGCCTTGTGTCCTCATCTGCAGAGGAGACATCCCTGGGAAGCCCCAGGAGCCGTTCTGTAGCCCGGAGCCTCCCCCACCCGCTAAGCTATCTCTAACAAAAGTGGAGCCCAGTGGTTTTGACATAAAAGACCAGCAGGAGCTCAGTTTTTAAGTAGTCCACATCTGTGCTAATTTTGGCCCATTCCCTGTATTTAAAAGATTAATGATTAAGAAGGCTCTTTTTTTTTTTTTTTAAACAACTTATTTTATTTATCCTATGGAAGGAACTGAATGTGGATCAGCTATTTATTTTCTAAACCTGTTCTAATTCCAAGCCGTAAAAAAAAAAAAAAAAGTTGCATGTTACTATGGAAAATTCAGATATAGGTAAAGTTCTCATTTAAATTTGATCCTGGACATTTTCAGTCTAATCCCAGATCTTTCTAGAATATTCCCTTCATCTTCCAGCTTTCCTTTTCTGCAAGTGTCTTTTTATATTCCTTTAAACACTACAGAGTTTCACAATATGAACTCCCACTATTGAATTAGAAATCTATTACGAAACGCACAAAAGAGCTTAAAAAAATATCTGTCAGAATGTAAGTAATTTTCAAAACATGATTTTTGCTCTTCCTGCATTAGTAACAACAGACCGGGCACTTAAAATGAGAACATTAAAGATTCTTTCCCTTTATATCCCATATTCTGTTTACTTTTTGAATTTTGCTCAGTTGCGACAATGACACGTTATCCTACAGTTTCATTCCTGTTTATGCTACGATTGGGTTCCAATAAAATCACTATGCAGCCGTATGCTGCGTTGTTGGTTACAGGCACTACAGGGGAACATTTCCATTTCAATTCTACTTTAACTTTATTTCTATTGACTGTTTGTTTTGATTTTAAAAAAATAATCTTTAGCAAAAACCTCGTCCTTGTTCAATTCAAGGCTGGCTCTTTTAAGGATGGAAAAAGCAATACACGGGCTGTCTGAGAAAAGAAAAAACCTTTTTTTTTCTGAAAGTCTAGGGTTGGAGAGGTTTTCTTCTGGGATTCTATGAAAAAGAAACCAATGAAGACACACATTTGTGGTTCATACTTCAGGTGTTTTTACCTGAACCTAAGAGGAGCAGGCTCCCGCTCAGTCCAGCTCAGAGTTAGGAATGACCCTGGACCGCCGGCGTGCTGCCGAGCATCCCGAGCTCAGCGACAGGGAGCAACGCTTCCCTCGCACCAGGAGTTCCCTGCTCAACCCCACTGATCTTTTGCAATTGAAGTTTCATTAAAACCTATATATTTTCTCGGAAAGTCTCTTTTCCAGAACAAGTGCTGTCAGCTCTGGTCCCTTGCATAGTTAAGCCCTGAGCCGTCCTTGTACCTGAGCACAAGCTCCAGCATCACCTGCCTTTCTCCAGGTGAAGATTCATCCTTCATTAAGGCACTGCACTCTGCCCCTGGCTAAGGGGCAATTATTCCCTTTAACAGCTTAACTTCTCTGTTCAGTCTCATTTTAGGTGTTTCCACCTAAACACCATTTGGGAGTTAGGTCTGTGCCTCAGGGGAAGAACTCCATCAGCACCTACCTAAGAGCCATTCACCCACAGGGAAGAAGTTCAATGTTTTTTTGGGGTTTATTTTGGGTTTTTTTTATTTTTTTCTTTACAGGCAATGAGGAAAAAATACATTTTCCCCCTACTCCTATGAGTACTATGGATATCTAGGAGCCGCAGGACCTCAGGCAGGTTATAGCATCCAACTACTTCCTTACGTGCCTAGCTTTAGGCACTCGTGTACCAAAATTCTAGTCATTTTTCTCAAATTTCTTTGCATCATCTGCAAGCTCATAATTGGCAAAGAAGTAATTCTCTGACCCAGTGACTCTGGAGTACACTTGTGAGCAGAGCTTTTTCAGTAACAGTAATAGATTGACATAATTTCATTAGAAACATCATGTGTCACCAGGGTATTAACATTACTTAGGCTTCCAAATTTGGTATTTCAAGTGCACTTAAATAACCTCTCAGAGAGTTTTTGAAGCTAAATTAAGTTATCAAATGTGGCTCCATTTCACATTGACTTTGTTTAAACAGCATTATGTAAAAAATTCCCTCTTGACTGAGACACCTTTAGTTTTCCTTTTTTTTAAAAAAAAAAAAAAACAAAGATTCCTGGCATGAAACATTTTGTTTGCTGCTGACAACAAAGCAAACCATTATCCCAAGAACTTACAGATTTGCAAAATGTGAAATTTAAAACGAGGGATAGAAGACTTAATGAAAAACTCTGCAGCCTTAAGACTAAAAGCAATTAAGTCACAACTACTAGTGCAATTAGCATTCTCTCACAACTTCCTCAGCTACTAGCTTTTGTCAAGCTCATATTTCGCTTTCAGCCTTGACAAATCAGTCACCTGCTGCTTCACTTTCTGGTTCTCATGGGCAAGCCTGACAATCTCGTGTGTCAGTCACACAAGTATTTGGGATAGGTAATCCTCTGTTTGGTTTTTTGTTTTGGTTTGGGTTTTTTTAACATAAAGAGGTGGGAAATGCAACATCCCGGAGAGCAGAAGCCCTTGTAGCACAGCACGTGCCAGGGAAGACGTGCAGAGAGGTTCAGCGCTGCCCGCTCATCGGGCTGTCCCACACACTGCCCTTGGGAGCAACCTCTGGCAGTCCCCAGTCTCCAGGTGGTGGATGCCCCATCCCTGGAAACCTTCCAGGTCAGGTTGGGCAGGGCTCTGAGCAACCTGCTCTGGTGGAGGATTGCAGCGGGGTTGGACTAGGTGACCTGTAGAGGTCCCTTCCCACCCAAACCATTTGGTGATGATTCTATGATTCCAGTCCAGCCCCCTTCTCAAATGAGGGCTCACCTCCAAGGGAGGTCAGGTCCCTCAGGCCAGTCAAACGGCTCCTTCAGTTGAGTCCTGAGAACCTCCCCAGGCAGAGGCTGCACAGCCTCCCCGGGCAACCGCACCGACCTTCCTCCAGCTCTGGAAAGAGATTGCCTGATCTGGTTCTGCAAGGTGCTGCGTTTCCTCCAAGCATTGCTCGTACCATCACCTCCTCGTTATTCCCACGTGTCCGCAGACATCGTTCCATGCTCTGGGAAGGCAGAGCAAGGACACTGGAGGTTCACGGGACAGCAAGGGCTCCGCAAGTTTCCTTGGCTCAGACTCTGCGCCTCGGCAGAGGGAATTACCCACGCCGGCCCTGGGGCTGCCCAGGACAGCACGTGGCTTGCACCTGGACTGACATCTTCAGCAGGGACGGGCGGAGAGCTGATGTGTACACACACACTTGGGAAGTAGTTTATTTGCTTCAGAATTTGTAAGAGAACTTAAGCCTTATGCCAAACTCTGAACCGTGACCTAAGAAAAGAGACATTAAGTTCTTTACTTCTACCATGCAAGACAGATCCTTCCCCTGGGGAAGATCTGATCAGAGGTTGGACTGGGCCCCAACTCCATCCTGCGCAGCCTGTGGTCAGATGAAATCTCTTTTCTATCTTTGCTTTCTTTCCTCTGCCCTTTTCCTGCCTTTTTTCAAACCTCCTTCAATACCACACCATGACCCACCCAGTCCTGCTCCACTCTGTGCCCTTCTGCACTGGGATGAACAAGAAAAATTCTGCAGAGCAACATTATCCTTAGACAAATCTGCACGGCACTCGGGGAACAGCACGGGTGTGTGAGCTCAGCCACAGCCTGGGACAGGAAGGATGCACAGAGATGCTCAGAACAGAAACTACCAGCCTGATTCTGCTGATTCTGCAGGTTTGTGTTTCTCCAACTACAACAAGGAACCTTCGATTTCTAGAAGTTGAAATAAGGATCAAGCTTATCCAGGAGCCCTGGCTTGGAGTTCAACATCAGCTTAAGAGAATCAGACCGTTAGGTTTAATGTTCCTTTCATTTTCTCAGGCTATTTCTCTAGGGTGAAGAGGGCAAAGATTTTTTTTGCAGCACCTAAGAATGACAACACATCTGCCCCCACATACAAAGCAAAAGGAAATCTGTTAGAATAAAGAAGTACCACTTCGTGCACTGTGATTTATCAGTGCAAAACATGCCTCAGCCCAATCCAAAACACAGTGAAGTCAAGGCAAGTCCAATGACTTCAACAGGACTTGAATTAGACCCTTCAAATCTCAAACAAGCATGTGCTCACCGTTAGGCATTACCGCATGGGAGCCATAAACCATGATGCAGAAGGCCCAGTAGAATAGTGGGAACTTCACACAAAGCAGGGAAATTGTTGGCATAGTGAGAAGAGAGAGGTCTAGCAAATGAATTTAGCATAGCATTGTAACAGTAATGGTCTTCCTGAGGCACAGAAAGAGGCAATAAAGGCATTCACAGGAGTAGGCTTTTGGTACGCGCTATCTAAGGGATATCTGTCTTGATTCACGCCAAGTTATTGCTGTAGAACTGCAAGTTATTTTCCAGCCATCTTTCAATTCCAGCGAAAGGAAAGAACTTCCTCAAATGTGTTTATCTAATTGCCAGCAATTTCCATTGCAAGGCAGATGAAATAAATAAACATAGGGTAGAGGCAGTTAACAGAATCCAGAGCATCTCATAAACAAACATTAACATCATGGCACTTCTTGCAGATTCTTGTTTCTTGGGAATGGGCTGCTTTGGGCAGCACAGCTGAATCACAGGCTGCTTTGAGTGGCTCGTGCTGTTGAATACACCAAAGGGCTACAAAAACACTCCTACCAAAGCAGGAAAAAGGTTGTAAATTCTGATTGTAACTTACATGGCTGTTGAGCAAACTGCTTTTGTGTGATGTAATCCCTTCATTTTTTTGTAGGTTTTCAATCGCCATTTCAAGCTAAAGAAAATGTGCACAGGGGAAAAAAAAAAGGAAAAAAGAAAAAGAAAGGAAATCAGATAGTTAGCAACAGCCAGGATTATTATTTCTTTATTAATATTTGAATGATTAATGCTTTATATCAACAGGCTTGTGAAAAAGAGGCAAACAGATGAGGCACAGTCCTTATGGGATGAAGCTGCAGAGACGTTATTGTATGGCATGCAAACTAACACCACAGCAAGAATCCCTATTAGGGTGGAGAGCGAGACCAGGGGGCTTCTGATCTTCCACTATATGCATTGCCCACTATGAAAGAGAAGCAGTTTTCCTTCTTTCCCCTTCATGCCTAGACCGAAACACCAGCAGACAGGTACGCTGCAGCAGGTCAAAGGAGATTTGCTACAGAGAAGGTGCATTTTACCCAGATCTTTCAAGGAAAAGTGGAAGTAATGACTTTGGTTATTATTACTTAACATTTGGACAAAAAAATAATGGCAACTAAATAAAACAGGGGCACAAGGCGGTTTTCACACACAGAATGCACAAGCTGGAATGGACAAGAGCACTTTGCTCCTGAAGAGAACCGCAAAGGGACTCTGAAGAAAGAAGACAGCTTTCAATTAAGTGAGCTTCTTCCCGCGAAGACAGGCTGGCACATCTTGATGCTACTTGTGCTCATTTCTGTTGACCTCAGAGCTTCTGCAAGCGCGGTCATGGTGAGGCATTCTGGCCCCTGAAGAGCCCCCTTGCTTCCCTCCGTCTAGCTTCTGTTCTACACGCAGCCCAGCTACGGCCGCTGCCTTGTGCCCGGACCCTCTCCTGGACCCTTCTTGTCTTCTCCTTTCTGCTCCTGGGGCTCCCTTGGCAACCTCTGGCAAACTGCTTAGCAGATGGCAGCTGGTCCCAGAGCTCTAGTGCTCCTGAGCACAGGATTTTTGCAAGTGAGGAAGGAAAAAAAAAACCACCGCCCCCCACATTAAGGGTGTGGCAGGAGCAGAACCTGCTGCTTCTCTCCAGTAGAGGTTCTCAAACCCCTGTTATCTGTGACCTGTTAGTGCAGGCAGGACAAGGCAGCACAGCTCAGCCAGTAAAACTTGCAGGCAGCAGCTCTCTCTAGATCTGTCCTCATTTAACATGCATGGTCGTGCACATGCACAAAGCATCCGCACAGTGATCTGTCAACGGCCTCCTTCACGTCCTAGCTAGCTTCCTGTACTCCAGTTTGCGCTGACTCATAGCATGAAGATAAAGGTCGAGATAAACCCAACCATTTACAAAACCAAGCTCTGTCAGAAAGGTGGGAGAACAGAACAAATCAAATTTCTGAAGTAACGTTCAACAAAGACACGGTCTGTGCCATATCCATGTCTGAACGTGATACTCTGTCCAAGCACCACCAGCACACATCCCTTGGTTTCCATCCAAAAGTGCCATCCCTGTGGCACTTCTCAAGAAGTTATCACTGAATTCAAAGAAGGGTCAGTCTAAGACTATGTGCCAGTGATTTTTTGAGAAAACTGCCTAGCGCACCGTGATGTACCATGAGGAACCGAAGACCGATTGCTGATGCAGCCTTCAGGAAATGAGTCAGTGTTAGAGGGAGACACCATTTCCTTCCTCTGTTCAAGGAGCAGCACAGTGCCAGTTGAGCAACACCTCTTACACAAGCACAGAAACACTGCCTGTCCTTTTGGCCTTTTGGTAGGCATCCCATACAAACGGACACCTTGCATCTGCAGGAAAAAATACTACAGGGGAAAGACTAAAAGCTCTTAAACAGCCCTGCATGAAGGTGAGGAACTCTGAGAACCCACTCATGGCAGGTCTCAAGGATTTCCTCTCTTGGTACAGTCTAATTTAAATGAAGATTAATAGTGCTCTATTGGCACAGACACTGAATGGGACTGCTTTTCATGAGCTGTTTCAGCCCATTCAATGGAGCAGAACATCATTATTCCAGCAGATATGGAAGACGGGTTTCTTCAAATACTTGAGGATTTTATTTTAGTGTACATACAGTCTTTACCAAACATCTCTCAACCTCCCAAGGCAGCTCTTACATCACTGCTAATTCTGAAGCGCTACCTTGTTCCCAGTCTCCTCTGAAGATACTCTCCTTGCTTTCAAGCTCTCCGTGCCAGCTCTGCCTCAAGCATTCAACACCCCCCAAGCCCTCTCGTTTCCCCATTCCTTGCAGCTGCCTCTCACGTTGCCAAGCCCTCACATTACTGGCCACTTCGACATCCATCCCCTTTGCACTACACCCCCAAGGCCACATGCAAACACTACGGCTTCCTTGTCTACATCTGCATGAGCTGTACTTTCTCTCCAAAAAGCTCTTAATCCTGCCCCAAATACATTTTGCCAGGACTACAGCCTCTCCGGCCTCTTTAACACCAGCCTTTCCTATCCTCTGTTTAAGCAAGACACTGCAACAAAAAATAATGTTCTTACCCGTTGATCTGATTTAGTCATTGCTCTTCTTAAGCCTTCCGCTATCTGTTCACCCATTATTATGTGAAAATGAAAGCAGTTATCACGCCTCTCTCTATCCCCCTCCAACTTTAGTCTGTGCTGAAAGAACCGAAAGCCACACATCGACACATCCCTGTACTGCCTTCCAGACAAGCATCTCTGCGCTATTTGACCCTCTCGAGCCCCTCCACAAGAGCCACACACATTTTGTGTTAAAACACCTTCTGAAAGTTCATTCCTACATGCAACAGAGTGAATTTATTTCAGATGCACTTTCATAAAGGTCACTTCCTAAATTCTTTTTTTCCTGGGCAGCTTTATCCCATGTGATAGACAGCTACAAACTAAAGCTGTTCATGGGACATTTCTGTTGACACATATTCTACTCGTGCTTTTTACACATGCCCATCACCATGGAAATTTAAAAAAAAAAAACCCCAACCCCAAACCAAAACCCAAGAGTAATGCTGTGCAGCTTTGCAAAATGCAGTCCCACGCAGGTGACAAGATCAGCAGCTACTTCCTTCAAAACCAGCTTGAGCAAAAATCAGAGGATGGTCCAATGCTAGTTTTTAACTATCAAAAGTTCAAATACACACACACACAATTCTCACACAGTGGATGAACCCCAGCTAACCCAGATGCATCTGTCATTTTCTCTTCCACCCAAAGCTAAGGACTTTTCCTCACAGATAGCTACTTCTACCTAAGGCAGAGCACATTTACTCCAGGATCAAAGGCAACCTTTCAAGACACAAAGATTCCAAAAAAATGTGAAATCTGTATTCTCTGTGGAAAAAGAAAGTACAACATAACCAGCCAGATTTTCAAGAGTACTCAGTAGCAAACAGCTCCTGTTTTTCTCCCTGGGTGGTGCTGTTCACATTTTAATATCTGGCCACATACACTGAATTACACCTACATTTGTAATTATGTTTACATACAAACGTATAAACACACAGAAGTCAGTCTGGAAAGGAAGGTGAGCAGAGCTCCAACCCACTCCTGGGCGCAGCTGCTACCAAGGGCTGGTAGATTCTCAGAAAAAAGCCCTGGCAGCTTCTAGCTGCAGGAAGGCTGGTTTTGGTTAATAGTTGTATCTCCCCGAGTCCCCCACAGCTGTACAGCTGGGCTTCCAGCAACCTGGCACCTCGACTGACAGTTGGAGGGACATGATTGAAAAAATTAGAGCTTTAAAACATTTCTGTTTGATCAGTATTATCCCTAAAATACATTTTCTGTAACACATGGCACGGACAGAATACACAATGGTGTAGGAGGTATATACAAAGGCTTTTCAGTCACTGTGCATTTGGCATGATCAGCTTGACATACCTTATGTGCTAATTATCCACTGTGCTAATAATGGATTTTTCGGGTCTCTTCATAACTAAAAATATATTTATATATTTCTTTAGTTTGGGTAAGCCAAGCCCATATCCAGATGTTATACTTGTTAGAAAATGTAAATACAGACAATTCTTTTGAACTGGAAAGCCAAAACATTTTGCTCAGGGGGAAAAAAAACCCCAACCCCCCAAGAATTTTCTCTTATCTCCATGCTGCATAATTTCAGTGACCCACTCAGAAAGTTTGACAAGCCTCTGCCCGCCAGCAAGAGAGACATCCCAAACTCCTGTTGAAAAATACCTGTAGCACACCAGTGTCTATTCTCTCGCTTGCATTTGCATGGCACGTTATACAGACATATACACAGTGACAACGATAGGAAGTTTTATTCTCTGAAGGCTTTTCAGTTCCCTTGGCATAATTCCTGGCCCCCGAGCTGCAACATCTGCAGGGCTACATACCGTTGCTGGAGAGGAGCGTGAAGTATGTGACAGAGAATGTCTAGTGTTTTCCATCCCCCCATGAATGAGATAGGCTCCCGAGCCGGAGAGGATCGGACTTCCCCCAATGTCCATGGTGATGCCCACCATGTTGTGAGAGGGAATGGCTGTAGGAGAGGATGCCGCTGTAGTCACCTGAGCTCCACCTCCCTGCGGTTCGAAATAGGATGCTGCACTGCTGGGGGCGTAAATCTGAGCTTCGGTGTTGTAGGAGTAGGCGGCTCGTCTGTCAAAGGAACAATAGGGTCAGGAGGTGGAGCACACCTCGGGTGGAGGGAAGCTTGCGGAGCTAATCTCATGGACAATAGTTTCCGCAATCTGGACCACCCTTAAAAAAAACCTCGTCTCCATTGGCGGTGGGATTTGCTCCATTGAAATTGAACCCTGTGCTGTAAAAATCATTCCTGTTTGTTAATCAGTGTTTGTTAACAGTGTTCATCAGTCCTGTGGTGGCCCTGGAGCAAAGGCCCACGGCCACAGTGAGAGCAGAGCCCAGGAGTGGCTCTGCAGCCATCGTAGGCAACCTTGGTACCGAAGGCTGAGAGCATCCTGGAGGGCAGCAGGGGCAGCAGGCCCAAAGCGGGGGGCGCAGCAGAGAGGAGGAAGAGGAAACCTTACAACACCCCTTTCTTCCTCTAGCAGTTATGCTCTGGTTCCTAAAGGTGCCCCACCTCACCAATGGGCAGAAGAAAATACCGGACCCTTTTATGCAGCAGGATTCGCTGGAGAGCAGTCCCTCCATGAGGACAACACCTCCCCCAAGGCTGGAGTCTGGCTGAAACTACCCCCACGCACACTACGCAGCATGTGAAACGGTTCCTCCTCTTCCTCCTTTTAACGGCGGGCAGTGCCAGCAGCAGCGCTGGGGTGGAAGGAGCCTGGGAAGACCGAAGGGCTCAACCCAGCCGGGAGGGGAAGAGGGGCTCTGCTACAGCCAACAAGAAACTCTTACATGGTTCCATTGGTATAAACAGCTTCTCCTCCTTCCACATACTGGACCTGGGATGGATATACGTGCTGCACGGATTGCACCTGAAACAAGCATCATAAACTCGAGTTACAGATATGCTATTGCCTAGGAACAGCGGGAGAAATTGTGTATTACATCTTTAAACAACTTTCAACCTTACCTTGGCATCTAGGCTTTCTTTTTAAAAGAAAAAGAAAAACAAAACAAGCAAAAACCCCACATGCTTAGGGATCCCAAAGGACATATTTATTTTAAAAGCTCAAATCAAAATAAATAAGTATTTGCCCCATGAGCGGTGGAAACAATGGAGCTGGGTTTCCTCTGCACACATGCCTCGGGGCTGGTTCTCCGCTGACCAGTAAGAGTGAGATCATGCTGCAGCCTTTCCTTCAGAGGGGAGGTTGGCAGTGTCCATCTGCACCCCCGCTCCCTTTTTCGTTGGTCTGGGAGGGACATAGTTGCCCTCTGTCAAGTTTTTTTTCTGAAACTGAGCAACCAAATAAAAAACTGCTAGAGGAAAAAGTCAAGAGAGTCAGACTCACTGTCCACATGAAGCACCACCACAGATGCCTGGTTTCTTAGGAAACAAGGACTGCAAAAGGCAAAGTTCAGATAAATAAAAACACTTGCATGGCTCTCTGTCACCTAACCTTTCCATGAAGCCACATGCAGTCAGTACATTTATTTGTGCAATTAAAAAAAATCCCAAACAGTTCGCCTCTAAAAAAATCTTGACAAAGGAGGACTGCTTTTAAATGGCAATTAAAAGCATCCATCAACTCTTCAAATGTATGAAATACAACTGCTACAGTAAAGGCTCTTCTAAACTTTAAATATCTTGAGAGCTTCTTTTGCCATCAAAGAAAGGAAGAGAGAGATGGAGAAAGCTGCTCTCACAGTGATCTACAGCTCTCTAATTGCACACAGCTCTCTAATTAAGAGCATATTTTTTTTCTAAGCAGCTATCTGGCACAGTTTCAAATGTCGTGTGGGACATGGGGTCCTGTTGACACGGGGGTCCCTGCGTGGTGTCTCACCCCAGAGATATTACCTGTTGTGGAACGTGCTGAACTCTGGGAACAGAGATTTGCTGCATCTGCGCTCCTTTGGGAGCGGAGCCTGCTGCTTGGACCAAAACCCTCTGAAAGAAGAAGATATAGTGACATACACTTACTTTCAGTCTGTAACACAGGTGAGTTAGGTATTCTCTTTCAATCTTTCATGGAAAGCTTGCCTCCTACTCCAGAGGCAGCAGTACCCCCTACTTAGCATCCCTGCAGTTCCCATCCTTCCAATGCAATCTGCACCAGACACCAGCCTGAACTCAGTACCCTAAACCTGGGAAAAGCAGAGCGCTGAATCCACATTTTCTGACATGGACCGTCTTTAAGTCTCCACGCAAGGAAATAACAGCAAACGGTTGACAAGAGGAGCTCAAGACGAGGTTCAGCTGCAGCTAAACAAGAACCACTCCTCACGTTCACATTTTCCTCCTAGGGTTGCAAAGTTTCTTCTCCTATGGCTGCCATACCAAACCACGCTCTGCCTCCTGCGACACGAAATCACACTCTCCAAGGTGCCACAGTCCTTACAGTTTCTACCGGCACCAAAGCTCAGACGGTTCTGCATCTCCCTTCAGTGCCACCAAGGGCACAGAAATGCTTTGTGTTGCCTTGCCGTGGTCACTCTGTCCTCTACCTCTCTACTGGCATTTCCACCGTCCCCCTGCTCTTTGTGTTATGCTCAGCATTCAGTTTGAGGTTGGACCCATGTCTCCTAAAGTGCTAAGCACCTTGCAGTTCCAGCAAAACAAGCATGGGGACATGGTGGATGGAAAGAAACGATTCAGTGAGGCCCGTGGGAACAGAGCCTGGGTACCGGCATGAGAGTAAGAAAGAAAACGTTCAAGCCAAATATCAGTATGGCCTGTTAAATTGATGAGGACCTCCTCCAAGGAGACAGTCATCCTCTGTAGCTTGAGGCTTTAAAAAAAAACCAGCAGATGGGGCCAACTGAACAAAAAGCTGCAAAACAATCCCACGTGAATCCTAGAGGAGACCTCGACAATTACTGGCTAACTTATACGTATATATTTATGATTTCTAGCCTTCTGACACCCTCCCACCATGCCCTTTGTAAACAGCCAGAAACCCTTTCTAGCAGAATTACAGGAACGTGATAATTGCCCAGACTTCCAGGCAGCCTCTGCATCACCAGTCCCCAGGCTGACCTTCAGTAAGTCTGGATACGTTGGAGAGCCTGCAGCTGAGCTCGCGATAAGGACACATACACTGACGCCACCCATCACTTTGTCCATTTTCTCTCCAAAAGAGGCTGTAACCAGTGCATGATGGGAACATTAAAAGCCGTTTTTCAACTCAGGCCTTGGCAATGCCAGCTACATCAAAGTCTCACAAAGATCTGTTCCTTTCTCCTACTTTTCACCCATTCTCTGTCATTGCGTTTACCAAACAACACATGGCACAGCTGTCCAGCTCAGCCACTTGTGTAATTTGTCACTACCTGCCCGGTTGCTCCTACTACCTTCCAACCGAAAAAATTAATCATCCCCAACCTGTAAGATGAGGCCTTCCTGTTCATACAGCCTTCTCTCACACTGAAAGGTAGACCAGTGATCAACACCACCAAAGGCTTCAGCCTCACACCAGTCATGCTGCCAGTAGTTCATTCCTAGTATTTTCTTTGTGCTGCTGGTGAGAAGGGAAGGCTCTGGCTGCTCCTCCTCTTCAGCCATCTTCCACGATCCTCTGGGTCTTCCTTAATCCATGGAGTTCCACTTGATACTCTGCGTCATGACGACAGCACTGGCAAAGGCTGGACGGGTAGTTTCATAATCCAAAGCCAATGGATTTTCTAAATTTCTCTAACATGTTGTCACAGTCAAATTCACACTAAGGACTGCCAATCCCTAAGATCCTTGACACTACTGATCAGCAATATCCACATCATTACAATATGAACAAGAAACATCACCCAGAGAAATCGAAGATGGGAAGGCTGAAAGATGACAGAGAGCTGGCCAACCATGTGAATGTTCACGTCTCCTGGTGAATCAAATGCTCCTACCAATTCACAATTTTTAATTGTTCCTTTTTGTCAGCATCCAATGGCAGCTACTTCTGCTCACTGGGGAGTTGGAGAAGGGTGTAGCTAAGTTGTACACACCCATCCTCTTATCCCTCCAGCTTCCTGTGACAGAAACTTCTTTTGATAGTTCCCCAAATGGCATAAAAAGGAACCAGTTTTACTTAACCCTTCCCATTTTCCATTAGGTAGTTTTCATTCATCCGCTGAAGCTAGCATTTCTCTCCTGTCAGGAGACCTCCCAAGTGCATCATATTCATGTATATGAATCACGAATCCCCCCCTCCCCAATTTAAAATGTCAGGATCCACCTACCAAAAGAAGAGGCCAGCATGTGGCTCCTCCACCCTCTCCCCGCACCAGAGCTCCCTCCACCTCTTCTCTGTTGAGCTCGGTACCCTAGTTGCAGAGATGCCTTTAAGGACAGTTTCATTTTCTCCTGCTTTTATTGACAACATGACATTATACTGAAGCAAACACCAAACGGGCATGAAATTAGTTCCTCGAGTAGCTAAGTTAAAAAATCCCACGTTTTAAAGCTTGCATATTTGTAGGGCTAACACATGAAATATCTATGGCCTTTATCAACACAAAGTCCGGTTCTCCCCACTACCACAACGAGCTGATTAACAATCCTCTCCCCCATATAAAACCCCTGGATTAAAATACATCTGCCAGTAAAACAGGTCTCTTCTCCATGGAAACGGCATTCCCAGCTGTGCATACGTTACCTGCTGAGACGCTGGCACCGGCTGCACTACCGGAGCTTGGGCTGACGCAGAAGTGTGAAGTGCCACCGAAGCTGCTGAGTCTGAGCCACCCTCCGAACTCTGCATGCTCACTGCTGGGAGAGCAGAGGGGAGATCAGCCGGGGAAAACACAGCTACACACCACAGCAAACGCCCGAGGAACCTACATCTAACAGGAATAAAATCCCAGTGGAAGATCCAGGGGAAGTGCTAGGAAGGAAGGTAGCTACCTTCCTACACAGAGGACTCTTTTTAGTCTTGGAGCTAATTTTAATACAGTATTATATTAAGAAAAAAGAAAGTTGCACAATTGTTCCACAGAAAGGAGAGGCAAGGAACAGAAAATGCACTTCTAAATATAACCGGAAAGTAGCACTGGAAAATTATTGTGTCATAGTGAGGATAACTTCAGATCTGGAAGAGTAAGAGCATATTTTAAAAAACATTTTTCCTCCCCCTCTGCCTTATCATGTTTAACTACTGAAGAAAAAAAAAAAATCAAATCTAAGTACATGCCTGGAGCTTAGCTAATGCTTTCATGTGGAAAGTGGTGTGGTCAATTTGGGTTTATAATCACAACTGATAATCAAACAAGAACAGCAGAAGAACGGTGATTGACCATCATTTCAAAATCCGCAAACCACCCAGACGAAGAGCCACCTCCACTGTCCCGTCCGTGCCCCTGCCCCAGGACCCGGGCAGCCTCCCCGAGGTCCCCAAACACCGACGTGCCATCGCCCTCTGCTCCCGCTCCTGCGCTGCAACCCTGCGGCGCTGATGACCCCGGCGCCTCCGAGCCGCCCGGGTCCCCCTGTGCCGGCAC